GGTTAAATCATCACATCATCATTTTTGTTGGAGTTCTCATTACGAGTAAATCATCATTCTTGTTGGCTGAATTCCCATTCGCCATCGCTCTCATTGCTCCTCCCGACTCTGAGGCGTTGCAAAGAGGGTATTCAAAGTCACCGCGATCAGATTCACCGTGATCGCTGCACGCACGTTGCGCGATGTGCAGCGGAACAATCCTGAATACTTTTGGAAGTTTGAAACGAATCCAGGCTTGACATGTGCGATATACGTATGTAGATTTGTGTAGATATATGTAATTGTGCGAGTATTATGTTTACTTGTTACTGTATCTGTTCTTATCTTGTGTGAAACATGGTTAATCAATGTTAATTAATAAACACACAAAACAACAGAAGCATCATCTAAAATCATGACACCACATCTTCTTGGGGGTTCCATATTTATACTTCGCCCAAGCAACTGCGCAGAGAGGGTCACGCAGCTTGGTGGTATGACCACCGCCCAAAAAATGGAAAAGGTCGAACTTCCTCGTATGATATGGATATATATGTATATATGCATATAATTACATGTGTATATATATATATATATGGATATGCTATATAGTAAGACTTTACTGATGCTTGTTTTTGGTATTTTTTGGTTGCAACTAATTAGGGTGAATCTCATGGGAAATCCAGAGTCAAACTTCTGGTCTTGGAGGCTTCCAAGGAACCTTTGTGGAACGACATGTCCACACACCAGCCAGTTGCCGGCATCAAGAATCCAAGAGCCTTGCGTCAGTGCCGCGAATGCATGCGAATGCCGCGAAGAGAAATGTGGTGCAGGCTGGAGAGCATCAATTGAGCCACTGAAGTGGCACCAGCAGTCTGCTTAGGGAAAAACATGTACCTGTGGTTATTTATAACGTAGCTATGGGAAATCACCATTTTTAATAAGTAAATCATCATCAATCATCTAGAAATGGGCCATGTTTCATATGCTAAATAACCAGAGGGTCAACTAAAATCGAGAAGCCAACTGGGCCAACTTTCGAATTTGGTTCCTCTGAGCAGCTCAATTCTCTCTGGCTTCGCTGCATAGTCAGATTGAATCCCCAAGGTTTACCTACAAAAATTATGGCCCCCTCATCATGGCAAAAATGGGTCCATTATGTTACCCCATCTAAGTATAGATGTGTATATATGCTTCTACATAATATATATATATATGTGAATGTGTGTGTATGAATGTGTGATGTGCGTTTACTACATGAGATATCCATAAAGCATCCATAAAACCCTGTACTTCACCTACTTAATTCGCCACCTTGGCCAGGGGAAAACCGGCACAGTCAAGGTGCGCTCGACAAGTTGGGGCTGTTCGCGAAGTGGAGCAGTGGACCAAGGGTCACCATGAAGGCAAAATGCACCTGGCATCGAGTGCACCAATCAGTGGTCGCGCTTTAGGTTACATGATCCAACGAGAATATCATGGGAAAAATCATCGAAACATAAACATGAGATATATTTTTTGTCTGAAAAACGTGGAGAAACATTTCTTTGGGTGTAAGCCCGCATGAAATTTCTGGACAAGCGGGCAACGAAGAGAGCCATTTTTTTTTAGACCCAGGCCACGAAGACCTCCTCTAATTCATAGCATACAACCTGAAAATGCGAACACATAATATATATATATACACATATGAACACATATATATACATGTCTCAGGGATTGCTCGGAGCTGACAGTATGAAACCTACTGAACTGTTGGCTCTTAATCTTCCAACTTTACCGGCAGCCATTATCCAGTGGCGAGTCACACCGGATGTTCCGAAGCGCGCGAACATCGGACGTGACGCCACCGGCCAATTTTGCACGGCCCAGCTTAAGGAGTATCCTCCAGCGTTCTGCGGCGCACTTGCACAGGCGACGTTTGATGCTGTCAGCGGTGCTAGCTCTGCCGACATACAGGTCGATCCAGAGTTTTTAGCATGCTGTGTGAATATGCAGCAGGATTTCCAGGAATTCATCGGGCAAAATTTTGCACAGAATGGCTGACCGGGGTTTTTCATCTTCTCACCACGCTTTGAATTGACATGCTTGGCCGCCGCTTCATTGCACCTGTGTGCCAGAGTGAAAAAAATATAGGTATATACATATATATATATACATAAATATACATGTATAAATACATACAATATACATATACATCTAATATACAAATATATATATAATTCGCGTCTTATATATACATAATATTATATTATAGATATTCATGACTTATCAAACCTGGCATCATTTATAGCCTCACATCGAACAAACCACTCGTATGGCAACCCTTCAGAACACCAAATCCAAGGTGTTGAAAAAAACTGGTTTCACCATCGATGAACTCCCCACGGTTCCGAGGTAAATTCTCCCTAGTCACCAATCCATTAGTGACTAGGGTTGATACTGTTTTGTGGTAGATGTATGCAACTATAGATGGGCTAAAAATGGGAAAAACATAATATAACCATATATAACCAAAGAAAAATAACTGACGGGCACCACCGTCTACATCCTTCAGCCAATCATCAAGCACTCAAAAACAAATGGGCCAGGTCGCAGTGAATCTAACGGCACTGAGGTAATTCTCACACCGCATTCCTTGGCTTGTGCCCCAAAGTCAGGAATCAATGTGCAAACACTTGGTTTCGCCTAATATAATGTGTTAACCAATCGCTCCAGGATTCTGTGAAGCTCCTTTTCCACTCTCATCTGATTTGAAGAATGCCTGGAAACGTGCACCATGCACTGGCATCGGAGGCCTAAAGAGCATGCGATCTTCAGCAAAGTTGACGCAAATTCAGAATGAACCTATCATGTGGGGATGTTGTTTTATGAATCATGTCATTGAGGATAGTTCGTGACATTGAGTTTACCACAGTAGTTGGGCCACCAACTCCATCACCACCAAAGCTCAGCTCGAACCAGAAAAACAGAAAAGGACGTTGTGGAGGCCCCTTTTTAACGGTGTTTTGAAAAAATCACAAAAACATGTTTGATAAACATATTAATTTTAAGTGCATTCTGGTTCTCTGTTTGATCTTTTGTGTGTTATGTGCCTTGTGCCTCAAGGGGACAACCAGAAATACCATGCTTGGACTTGACATTTCCATCATTTCAATTTCCATGTCTAGCCAATATATTATATGCTAAAAGGAAATTGGAAATACACACACAGATAGATATATATATATATGTGTATATATATATATATATATATTAAAATCACTAAAAAACATGTTTAATAAACATATTAATTTTAAGTGCATTCTGGTTCTCTGTTTGATCTTTTGTGTGTTATGTGCCTTGTGCCTCAAGGGGACAACCAGAAATACCACGTTTGGACTTGACATTTCCATCATTTCAATTTCCATGTCTAGCCAATATATTATATGCTAAAAGGAGATTGGAAATACACACACAGATAGATATATATATATATATACATGTGTATATATATATAACTATATATCAATATATATATATAAACAAACAACACACACACACAAAGAAAAAAAAACATACAGCGCCGGCACAACGGAGGCCCGGCATGGCACCTCCGCTGACTATGGGGGACAGTCAGAGTATTGATAAAAAATCCAGCACCATGGGGCATATGGGACCGCCATTATTGGTTACCCTCTTGCACAACCGCCCCCTTTCGCCTCTGAGCCATGAAACCTCGGGGTTGACATGTCCACAGCCATGTAGCCGTGTAAGAAAGCGTCTTATCATACATCTTTTTAATGCACATATATATATATATATATACATACACACTATGGAAAGAATGATCGAAGGAAGTTTAGAAGTCAAACTTCCGACAATATGGACAGATGAAAAGCAGAGCAGGGCAGAGGCAAAGAGAAGGGAAAAGATTAGAAGAGAGAAGAGTAGAAGAGAACGAGTCAGAAGAAAGAAGATGCAGATGCGCGAAAAGGTAGGAAAGTCGCGAAACACTGTGTTTTCCCAATGATTTGTGTCTCCGGAGGGTCGAAAAGTAGGCTCACTAAAGCGGCGGGTGCGGAGCCAGTTGGCCAGATGAGAGATGAAAAATTGCACGCCGTTGTGGCGCGAAGCAGATTTCCAAGTCAAAATGTACAAAACACACCAGCGCCGGACCACTTTTGGAAGTTGAGATGTCGAAAAAGTGCACGCTGTTGTGGCGCGAAGCACAATTCGAAGTCAAAATGTAGAAAACACACCAGCGCCGGACCACTTTTGGAAGTTGAGATGTCGAAAAAGTGCACGCCGTTGTGGCGCGAAGCACAATTCGAAGTCAAAATGTAGAAAACACACCAGCGCCGGACCACTTTTGGAAGTTGAGATGTCGAAAAAGTGTACGCCGTTGTGGCGTGAAGCACAATTCGAAGTCAAAATGTACAAAACACACCACGTTCGGACCACTTTTGGACGTTCAGAGATTGTTTCGCATGGCAGGCACAAGGGATTGTGCACCTTGTCAAAAGTGAGCAAAACGTGAGGGTTTTGTCGCATTTCCAAAAACGATGGCAAGCGTGGGACTCTGCAAAGATGCATTTTCCGTGGCAGGCGCTGAGAGATGTTAGGAGGTCAGGGCGCTAATTTCCTGCGAGAGGTTGCATTTTGGAGCATCAGATCTGTAGGTTTGCTAAGATGATTTTGCGTGACAGGTGCAGCACTTCGTATGACCTGGCATCACTTTTTCGTGGCAGGCACGGTACTTTAGACAGGTGGAGTGGAAAAATCGCAAAACGCAGTGGTACGAGGCTGTCAGCGCTGCACTGAACTTTCCATTTTTTAAGGAAGTCTCGCAGAATTGCTCTGATTTTGATGTTGTCAAATGCAAAAATTGAGGAAGTCTCGCTGAATTGCTGCCTTTTTTGTGTTGTCAACTTTGAAAAATTAAGAGGTCTCGCAGAATTGCTTCGTTTTTGACGTTGTCAAGTTCAAACATTGAGGAGGTCTCGCAGAATTGCTTCGTTTTTGATGTTGTCAACTTTGAACAATGAAGACATCTCGCAGAATAGCTTGGTTTTCAAGCTTGCAGATAGACAGGTAGATAGACAGACAGACAGACAGATAGATAGATAGATAGAGGGACAGATAGACAGACAGACAAATAGATAGAGAGACAGCCAAATAAAAAGATAGATAGATAGATAGATAGGTAGATAGATAGATAGATAGATACGTAGGTCGGCAGGTAGGTAAATAGATAGATAGATACATAGATGGATGAGATAGATCGATCGATCGATCGATAGATAGATAGATAGATAGATCAATAGATAGATGGATAGATAGATAGATGGACAGATAGACAGACAGACAGATAGATAGAGAGACAGCTAAATAAAAAGATAGATAGATAGATAGCTAGATAGATAGGTAGATAGATAGATAGACAGAAAGATAGATAGATAGATAGATAGATTAGATAGATTAGATAGATTAGATAGATAGATAGATAGATAGATAGATAGATAGATAGATAGATAGATAGATAGATAGATAGATAGATAGATAGATAGATCGATGGATAGATTAGATAGATTAGATAGATAGATAGATTAGATAGATAGATAGATAGATAGTAATAGATAGATAGTAGATAGATAGATAGAAGATAATAGATGAGATAGATAGAAGATAGATAGATTAAATAGATAGATGAGATAGAGATAGATAGGGAGAGATAGATAGATAGATTAGTAGATAGATAAAGATTAGATAGATTAGATAGATTTAGATAGATAGATAGATAGATAGATAGATAGTAATAGATTATAGATAGATAGATAGATTAGATAGATAGGTAGATAGGTAGATAAACAGATAGATAGATAGATAGATAGATCGATTGATAGATTAATATAGATAGAGGATAGATAGATAGATAGATAGATAGATGATAGAGGTAGATAGGTAGATAGACAGATAGATAGATAGATAGATAGGTAGGTAGATAGATAGATAGATAGACAAATAGCTAGACAACTAGACAGCTAGATAGATAGGTAGATAGATGGATAGATAGGGAGATAGACAGACAGACAGATAGATAGGTAGACAGATAGATCAGTAGGTAGGTAGGTAGGTAGATAATCAGAGAAAGATAGAGAAACAGAGGGAAAAAGAGAGAAAGAGAGAGAAAGAGAGGAGACCTCAAGCACCTTTCGGTCCATCAGTGGCTTCGCTCTGCCATCCCTGATTCACAACAACCAACCCTCCTACAGGTTTCCTATTTTTGAAACTTCCGCCACCGCCTTGTGCGGTACTACTGGTAACAATACTAGCTTAGATATGATATGATATGACATGATATATGATATGATATTATCGATGTGATATTGTCTTATCTTATAATATGGTATCGTATTGTCCCGTATGATATGGTATATCATGATATGTGCATATATATATATGTATACCTACACATTTACATGAATATGCTATGATAATCTATGATATGTAAAATACACGTCAAATTGTCATATCCATTTGCAGACTTCCGGATGAGCTTTTCTGGAGGTGGGTTTCACAACTCCAATTATGCTGCAACGATTGACACTGGGATTCCACAGCAGGACAGTGCTTACCAAAGACACTTCAGAAACGTATCCAACCAAATCCATCCAAATCCATCCAAATCCCTAAATTGGTTTGTAAATCTCTGTCTCGTCTTTTACCTGAGACTTTCTCTTGGAGCATACAAATGCTATTGCAAACACAAGCCTCATCCTAAATCGACTGACTAGCAGGAATGAACAAACATTTAAACATATCAACCATCCATTGGAGGCTGATTCTTGGATTTACAACCAGCATCGAACTGCTATTTTAAAAAAAAAAAGTCCCATAAGTTGAAAGAACCATGGGCCTCGCGACTTTGCATCATCCTTGCAGTTGAACCATCCGACCCGACAACAAGTTTAGTTTCCGATTGTGGGAAAATTCCAACCAGATTAGATTGCCAAAGGCCACTGATCTGGTCATTTTTTGTGCTCACACCTTCCACCAAAATGGCGACCGGAATTCATAAAGGAGGCGAATGAAAGCAACAACCACCACAAAAATGACTTGAGTTTATGTACACTTGGAAACATGTCCAGAAGTCCCACATAATCAGCATGTGTTTCTGTAACTTCGCTCAACGGTGAGCATTGTTCAACGGCCTCGTGCCTTTTCGCCTTTTGTCGCAGCCCAGAAACAACCCGAAACTGTTTGAAAGAATCGCTGAAGGTCGCACCGTACCTGGGTCGCAAACATTTCCATAGCTATGTGAGCAGCCCATGAAAAAAGATCAGTACCATCACTTACACAGTAAAGATGGTGATGTTCCATACACACTATACTATATTAGTTTACTTGTTACTGGCAAAACATGGAGCCGGGGACGGTGACAAAACCATCATTCATCCAATCGGAGGGATCAAACTACATACACAACTAGATCGAACTGGTGAAGCCCTGAAAAAAAAACATTGGAAATACCCTCTTCATGGGCCATATGATATGGTAATATCTTCATGGGCCATGGTTTCCATATAGATAATGGGCGGTACCATATAAGACTGTAAACCATGGGTTATAGATATGGTTTCCATAGCCATGTTAAGAAAGAAATACCGTAGGGTACTCAATGGACATGACTCATCCGTCCAGTTGCATGTTTCTCCGTCAAGTGAAGGTGGCAAATGATAAACACAGTGGCAACGAGCACACCCACCATAGCTGCGCCCGAGCCGGCAGGGTGGCCGATGGAAAATGCTAGGCCCGAGCGGCGGAAATGGAGACAAAGAACAGCAGTCCCGGGGTGATGGACTATAAGGTGGTGCCCCCTAATGAAATGTGTGTTGTTTTCTGTCATCCAACTCGTGCCATACATCTAATTACCACAAGCTTGTCCTAGTTACTAGATGTTACTAGTTCATCTACTGAACTAAAGCAACTTAGCCAATGATTGGGGTCACCACCTTGTAGTTAACCTCCCGCAAACAAAAACCAACAGGAAAAACGCACAACAAATGATCATGATGTACAAAAACTATGCAAAGGTTCCAGGATGTTCCATTGGGCCATGCTCAACCGTCAAAGGACCACCACTTCTGTGAATTATTTCGTGGTGTGGCGGTATCATCCCTAGTTTCTCTGGAAACTGTTCTTTTTGATCTGATCAACCTCAAACCATTTGGTTTTGTCCATGGGGCACCCTAAAATCCAATGACCTGTCCTCAGCATATCAAAGCCGCAATATCTGTATGTCCCGCGCTGAAACTCCAGGGACTTGCCACCAAATCTGGGCAAATCAAATTCTGGGATGCCCCTGGCCACGGCCATCATCTGGCATAGATCTATATATTCTATATGGATCAAAAAAAAAGGTACCAGCCCACAAAACGCACAAAAGACCTGTCATCTGTACTATTACTACTCTAATCGTTTTACCATCCGTTGTACGGTGCTGGCAAAGTTTGAGCCATTCCCGTACTGCAATACGAAGGAACATCATGATACATACGGCAAGTTCATCCCATGAAAATTCCGATTCGACCACGGGAGGAGCAGATTTTGGTATATGATAGATATCTCGGACTTGCTTCATGTGTATATAATAATATATATATATGGGTATGGGTCAATACCTATAGATACATTTTTAGTGGGTTATTCACACCCATAAATACCCAGCTATGACTTGGGGTTCACCAGGGGTACCAGGGTTTTGACCCATCCCCATATATACATGAAATATCCCATAGCCGCTAGCCCCTTTCCAACAAAAATTCAACAAGTTCTGCCCCGCCTCCTGCCACGCTGAATGGCACGACCAGCTCTGGGAATCCCAGTTGGACCTGGCGCGGCTGTAGCCCAATGGGGGTGGAAAACCATGGGTGAATAGCGCACTTTAAACTAACATAGATGTGGAAAAACCATGGGCAACCATGGAAAAAACATGGAAAAACTATAGAAAACCCATGGAAAAACCACGGAAAACCATGGAAAACCCATGGGAAACCATGGAAAACCCTATGGAGAACCATGGAAAAAGCATGGAAAACCCATGGAAAAAACAAGGGTTTTCAATAGAAACAAGTGACAACACATGATTGATTGCCTAGTAGATGAAGAAAATCCGGAGGAGACAGCAGGGTCACCGCTGGATTCCCCCAAGATCCTCCAACAATCTGCCTCCAACATGTTTTCATACCCCGAATGACCCCCAGTTCATGAACAAATCCAATACGAAACCCGGCGTCGGGGGGGGCTGAATCTCAAGCTGAAGGGATTGAAAAATCATGTGAGCCCCAAAACCCTTGCTGCTTGCAATATACCTTAGGCCAGCGAACGCGCACCAGCCTGTTTTTGAACCCTTAAAGCCCTTAAGGCGATTGAGCGTTCTGTCGAGGAGCTTGCACAAAAAAGCCGCCGACTAGAATGACTAGAAGGCATGCCATCTGCTAGTCTCACATAGCTGGGGAAACCATGATGTTTGAATAGTGAATAGGGGAATCACCTACAAACGGGCCATTTGCCATTGCCATGGTTCATTACAAAACGGTACAGCAGTCGTGGTTTAGTTCCAGGAAGGAGTCACTTTTCAAGAACTGTTTTGGATCAAACAGGCACATAGGAAATTCGAAGTCCTTAACATATTCTATGTACCATCTGGTTATTTAACATAGCCATGGAAAATCACCATTTTTAATAGGTAAACCATCTATAAATGGGTCATTTCCCTAGGCCATGTTAAATAACCAGAGGGTAATAGATATAGGATCCCACATGAAGGGATCCAACCCTAAACCATGGGGTCTTTTAGGGGTTGATCATTTCATGACTGGACCAATTGGCTGCTATTGGCTGCTATGGCTCACACTTGCTTTCTTCTGTCAATTGAGGTGATGGCATCTTGGCGTCTATTGCCGTAGATTACATACAAGAACGGTATGCTGACCTTAACGCTTCCCTGAGCCACCTCAGAATTTGCCGTGATGCGATTTCAAGGAAATTTTTTGGGTACCTCTGCTACCCTCTGCTTGTTGACCTGAATGTTTGTGCAAACTTCTCTGCTGGATTCCGGCAACAAATGTTGCCATGATGTAGGATGCAGGACCTACTGCGCCCGCGGCAGTGACCAAAATATCATCACTTACAAGTCTGACTGCGTCTGACAAGTCCCTGCTGGTGATTAACACTGACTACTTGCTTGGGAACTGGGTGGATATCGCTCGTCAATGGGCCCTTTTAATCGGGTTATCCCATGAATATGCGAGCATGGCTCTCTCTCTCTGGCTCTCTCTCTCTCTCTCTCTCTCTCTCCATTTTTGCCAGTAAAGCCTTGCATGTGTAGGTTCATGGCAATTTTGAAGTGGTTAGAAAGGCTAAACCAACGATATCGACGACAAATGGTACCCGAAAGCCAGTACTCGCTGCCATTGCCGCAGCAGCCCCTGTGCAGTTTCACCACTTTCACGACTGTCACGATGCCTCCTGAGGACACAATGAGAACAAATTGTAATTCAATATCATTCAACACCCACAGCACGCAACATGTCACGGAATGTTTTGGGCACCCATAAAAATGGATCAAGGTACCATAATTATGGGGTATAGTATGTGTTTCCCCTTTTTATATCTTTTTATGGGTACTTGGAGGAGTCTAGGTACCCAAATTAGAAGTACTGAGTACGTAAGGTCTTACAAGACCTATGTCCATTGAAAATGTATCCCCACAAAGCATGTATATATATTTATACAAACCATACCATACTATACCATACCATACCGTTACGTTACATTACATTACATTATATTATATACATATAATATATATATATTGTTATATTATACACATTTATAGTTATATTATATACATTGCGCATACATTGTGCATGCTTTGGTTGTTTGCGTCCCCATTGTCCAAAAGGTGGCCCATATAGGGCGCGCAAGCAACTTGCTTTCAAGACCAGCGCAGAAGTCTCAACCGTTCATTCGTGTCAATGAATTTTTATCTGCTGGTCATTTAATATAGCTCGGGAACATCCCCCATTTATAGATGATGTTCATTGATGTTCATGTGTATTTAAAAATATGCATAGCTGCATAAGGGATTTCCAACACTCCCCCACCAAGGGTGGGCCTCGACCAGCGGCACGGTCTCATCGCTTTTCGGAGCTTCCCCCTGAGGGTCCAAGCCATTGGAATTCTTGGATTACCCTCCAGTACCCTCTGGTAAACTCACATAACTATGGATCATTAATCAACTATAAGTGGCTATTTTCAATGCTATTATCTTAAATTACCAGAGGGTACCCTCCAGTAATCAAATGGCAAGGGGAAATCCCTGAACTAAATGGACGGTTGTCGGAGTCGGATCCCTACCATTTTGGCCGGGTGGACCACCCCAAAATGTAACTTACATTTTTGAAGGCGTTATTTCTGTGGAAAGCCTCCATTTCTCAAAAAATGTAAGTTACTTCTTGGGACGTCACAAAACATTGGGGCCTCATGGGATAAAAAAAACAGAAGCAAAGGGGTTGGGAATTTTGATATCATCTTCACATAAAGAGGGGACTCAGAGTCAGTTTGAATTTCCATGGGGGTGGGAATTTTGATATTATCTTAACATTTTGGGGACTCAGAGTCAGCTTGAAGTTCCATGGGGGTGGGAATTTTGATATCATCTTTAACTTGTGGGGACTCCAAGTCAGTTTGAAGTTCTATGGGGGTGGGAATTTTCATATCATCTTAACATTTTGGGGACTCAGGGTCAGTTTGAAGTTCCATGGGGGTGGGAATTTTGATATCATCTTAGCTTTGTGGAGACTCCAAGTCAGTTTGAAGTTCCATGAGGGTGGGAATCTTCATATCATCTTAACATTTTGGGGGCTCAGGGTCAGTTTGAAGTTCCATGGGGGTGGGAATTTTGATACCATCTCAACCTTGTGGAGACTCCAAGTCAGTTTGAAGTTCCATGGGGGTGGGAATTTTGATATCATCTTAACCTTGTGGAGACTCCAAGTCAATTTCGTTCCATGGGGGTGGGGGTTGGAATTTTGATACCGTTTTAACTTGTGGAGACTCAGAGTCAGTTTGAATTTCCAATGGGGGTGGGAATTTTGATATCATCTTCACATGTTGGGGACTCAGGGTCAGTTTGAAGTTCCATGGGTGTGGGAATTTTGATATCATCTTTAACTTGTGGAGACTCCAAGTCAGTTTGAAGTTCTATGGGGGTGGGAATTTTCATATCATCTTTAACTTGTGGGGGCTCCAAGTCAGTTTGAAGTTCCATGAGGGTGGGAATTTTCATATCATCTTAACATTTTGGGGGCTCAGGGTCAGTTTGAAGTTCCATGGGGGTGGGAATTTTGATATCATCTTTAACTTGTGGAGACTCCAAGTCAGTTTGAAATTCCACGGGGGTGGGAGTTCTCATATCATCTTAACATTTTGGGGACTCAGGGTCAGTTTGAAGTTCCATGGGGGTGGGAATTTTGATATTATCTTTAACTTGTGGAGACCCCAAGTCAGTTTGAAATTCCACGGGGATGGGAATTTTGATATCAATTATAACTTGTGGAGACCCCAAGTCAGGTTCAAGTTCCGTTCCATAGGCGTGGGAATGTTGATATCATCTTAAACTTGAGCAAGTCAAGTTGCGAAATCCTAGTCGCGCAATCCGACCAAAGAGTTGCGCAATCCTGGGAGTTGCGCAATCCTAATATTCGCAGTTGCGCAATCCTGGGGGTTGCGCAATCTGTCGAAAGTAGTTGCGCAATCCGACCACAGAGTTGCGCAATCCTGGGAGTTGCGCAATCCTAATATTCGCAGGTGCGCAATCCTGGGAGTTGCGCAATCTGTCGAAAGTAGTTGCGCAATCCGACCACAGAGTTGCGCAATCCTGGGAGTTGCGCAATCCTAATATTCGTAGTTGCGCAATCCGACCAAAGAGTTGCGCAATCCTGGGAGTTGCGCAATCCGGAGAAGTTTCGGAATCGGACTTTATTCTTGAGGGTCCAGGTTCCACTGCAAATACTGCAGGTTTTGAAGACCTTACAATAGGGATCTTACATTTTTGGCCCCTGGGATTCCCTGGAAATTCTAGTATTATATGTGTTTTGATGTTCTTTTTTTGTGGATTGTACATTCTTTTGTACATGCTGTCTAGCAATGCCTTTGTGCATTTTGCCCTTAGGATTTCTGGGAATTCTGGTATTGGAAAATGTAAGTTGATGATCTTGAGGTGCAGGTTCCACTGCAAATACTGCAGGTTTTGGAGACCTTACAATAGGATACAATAGGGATCTTACATTTTTGGCCCTTAGGATTCCTGGGAATTCTGGTATTGGAAAATGTAAGTTGATGATCTTGAGGTGCAGGTTCCACTGCAAACAATGCAGGTTTTGGAGACCTTACAATAGGGATCTTACATTTTTGGCCCTTAGGATTCCTGGGAATTCTGGTATTGGAAAATGTAAGTTGATGATCTTGAGGTGCAGGTTCCACTGCAAATACTGCAGGTTTTGGAGACCTTACAATGGGGATCTTACATTTTTGGCCCCTGGGATTCCCTGGGAATTCTAGTATTCTATGTGTTTTGATGTTCTTTTTTTGTGGATTGTACATTCTTTTGTACATGCTGTCTAGCAATGCCTTTGTGCATTTTGGTCTTGTAAAATGTAAGTTGGTGATATTGAGGTCCAGGTTCCACTGCAAATAATGCAGGTTTTGAATACCTTACAACAGGGATCTTTTTGGTCCTTGATGTTTGATGTTTCTTGGCGTCGTGACGTCGAATTAAATTTTACAGATATAGTGGTACCCCCAAAAAGGAGGGGGGAGGGGGGGAAATGTAAGTTATATTTTCTCCACCCCCCATTTCCATAGTCACTATGTGTGTGGTGTATTCCTGGGGAATACCTTGATTTCACTTTGACCAGGACCATACCTAGGGGGGTCTTAACTTACATTTTTCACCCTTCCAAACGTGAATTTTTGGTACCTTAGAGATTTTAACTTACAATTAACCCCCCCTAAAAACAGCCTGAAAAATATCGAAAAATGTAAGTTACATTTTGTCAGGTCCCCCCCCCCCGAAAACCTAGTTGAAGGGGGTGGGGATGTTGTAGGTGATTTTCAGTGATTTTCCTACCCAGCTTGTCCACCTCTCCGATCTTCCATGTTATCAATGAAAGTAAAAGCAACTACCTATGGATGTTGGCCTGTTCTTGTTGCGGGGGGCATTGAAAAAGTCTACTTGGCTTATTTCTCAAGATGTCGGATTCTTTTGGGGAACCCCTCCAGTAAAAACATGTCTTCACGCTTCATTTTTCCTGAGGAACCATACATGGAACCATGGGAAACAGCCTGTGAATTGGTTGACCCCTACTTTGAGACAAACCCATCTGCGAACGCGCCACCTCCACACTCTCCGCGGTGCGCTCCGCGGCACGCTCTGCAGAGCCGGCGTTACGGGCCAAGTTGGCCACACGCTGCAGCTTGCCAGCAAAGTCCTACTTTATGTGGGGCCAACATGATGTGATCGTTGCTTTAGATTCACCCCATGAATACTGTAACCATAATTGGAATTCTGTTCACCAACTTATCAATCTATAGATAGTTATAAGTGTTACAAATTAGTTATTGAGTTTTGTTCACAAACTTAGCTTTCGTAAACAGGGGCCCCACTTTGTACTTATAGGTCATTGTTTTTAGGGTGTATTTATTCAGGTCAAGGGGAAGGGATGTTGCTATCCAAGAACACATGCTGCAGGCTGAGGTGCTCTCCCTTCCTAGCCTGGGCCCTGGGTAGTCTCAGCATGGCATCTATGGCAACTCTATGACTTTCTGAAGGGACGCTGTGGTTCACGAATGTCGACCTTTGGGTTTCATCCAAAGCCAGGCCCCACGTTCTCTCCTTCACCAAATCCTCCGTTCTCCGAAAGCGGTCGTTGATGCCAACCCGAAACTGCCAACGGCGCGTCGCAGCGGACCAATGCAGGGTTGACAGGGTGGGGGAACGATGGGAACCATCAAAACAGGTCATAGATGGTAGTGATAAGCAATACAAATGCGGATCAGCAAGCAACAAACTTGGAAATTCTTGCGCAAAGGCAAACGCATGGAGCAAAACCTTGAGAACCCCATACCTGGGGCCTATGAGATATTTCTATAATAATCATCAATGGGAATTTTGAAGAAACTTATAACTGGGAGGCACCACGCAACTGTAGGATTCCAAGTAACGAACTCAGTTACTGCCAACCTGCTATTGTTCAACGCTCTCGGCCCACCTGGGTCATTTGGTTCTCCAACATGTCTTTGCTCGGGCCTTGGCCACGGGCCGTTGGGCCATGTGTGCCATGTCTGGATGTGAAGCAGGAATTCATGCCACAAGTCGGCATTATTAATATAACTACTCCAAACGCCCGTTTAAACATCTTAGGTATGTCCTGGACAAAAAAAAGCAGCTGCTTGCATATCCATGTCTTGCTATGTACTCAATCATACCCCTTTGAAACGGGACCTTTCACACGATGGATCACTGCCAGGACACCACCTGAAAAGGAGCTCTCCATCAGAGATTTCACTTGCTTCTCCTCAGAGTCACCAATGACCACATGCACTGTGGGAAAATGTGCAAAAAAAGTGGGAAAATGTTAGAAAATGGGAAATCTCTGTATATATCTATCTATCTATCTATCTATCTACCTACCTATCTATCTATCTATCTATCCTGAAGATTGATCAATCACTGGAAAGCTCTTCAAACGACACACTGTGCAAATGGTCAGGTATGTCATGGTACCTCCAGGTAAGCCAACCACCTAAGCTGCAGCACACACAGCCAAATGTTTCCACTTCCCTGATTACCCTTCGAGTTACTAAAGCAATTGTAAAAACCTCCGGTAGTTCTGGTATATACCTTATTATACAATCCAAATATAACCAACCCATAGTAAAGGCGCCCAATTCCATTGGGTTTCCGTCTCCGGATTATTTCTTAAAGGTAGTATACCCCCGGACCCAGCTGCAAGGGTACCATTCAAACGACCCTAACAATTCTAACCGCTGCAAGGCATCAATCCTCTCCATGCCCTTTGTCAAGATCACCTGCAGATTCGTGAGACACTACAAGTTCTGATGGTGAAAATTGGATGGTTTTAACATTTGTTGCCATATACTTATGTAATAACTTATATAGTACTACATGGAATCGTTGTGGAATCTTATACTTCGCTAATCATTCCAATTCGGCATACTTAATTATATAATAACCTTACCATATGGGTCCGTCGCAAAATGGGGGGGTAGCCCAATATCCGGCCATTTTAATGGGCATAAATGATGATCAATTTTTAGTGGGGAATGTGGTTCCGAATTTTCAGACAAACCCATGTTCGCTTTGTTGATATCACACCCATCAGTGCCTGTTGCAGTTGAAAGACCACACTTCGGGTTCAAATCATGTACAATCTCCACCTGACTTTGGGAGACCTATCTCTTTGAAGCATCTCTACATCCTCATGATGACCTCATGTTGCTTCTTAGCCCCAGTTGCCTCTGTTTTTGCAACAAAAACGTGAAACTCCTATGTTTCTGGGTTTTCTTCGAGTGACCTCACAGGGAGAGTTTCCTGATTTCATGGAGAAAGCAGTGGCAGCAGGGGTTCGGTCCAAGGCGCCATATCCTTCGCAGTGGCCAAACCTGAAAGCGCCTGCATGCCGCCCATGAACTCATCCTTGGTCGGTTGATCCAGCTGTGCTGGGAAGCTCAATGGCCAAAAAATTGGCCTGCGAACTCATCAAACGAAAAAAACAAACTGCAAAAAATATCAACATATCAATCGCACAGTGAGTTTGAAGTTGGAGCTGGTTCCCCATTTGGATCCATCCCCAACTCCTAAGACCGAAGGCTTGAATTCAAGCAGCAAGGTCCAGCTCACCCTCACCATCCTGAGCCACCGGCAATGCCGGGCTGTTGGCAGAGTTCTGGTTGCATCAAACATGGAGATTTTGGGGCTTCAACTAGCTCAAAAACATTGCGGGATCGAACTACAGGAAATAGCAGGGATTGAACCATCGAATATGGCTATCGACTATTATTGAATATGATTATTGCTTACAAGTTATGTGCAGCTCAGGGAACGGCACAATTAGTCATGATGGGACCCGCATGCTTGGGCACAGCCGGGCACAGCCGCTCAGTGCTTTTGTGATGAGAAAACCTTCTTGGTGTTTCGAGCAATGCTGGAAATCATGGTTCAGTTGAAGATGATCTTTTCCAGGAGGAACATGACAATTGAAATGACTGAAACGAATCATGGAAACATATGCCATGGCTTCAGCTCAAAACGCGAAGGATGGCAACTAATTAGACCTAGATTGGACCTATTCGAGCAAAGATCTCCATCATTTCAAGCTTCCGAGTTGATCCTTATTTTTTTAATGAGATTCCAAACACATTGTTGCACACGTATCGATATGTATATAACTATCTGTCCTCAAGGTTTGGTAGTTCCAGCCCCCTGGCCTTTCATTCACCAACATTTGCCACCAGGTCTACTGTTCAAACCAACCCAAAAACTGGAAAAAAATCAACTCCAACTAGAATTGAGTGGTAAACTTACGGCCAAACACCTTGATTTGCCCGCGCTTGTCGGCGGCCATCTTCGTATGTGCTGAAGACGTGGTAAAAATGGGAGTTTTTTGCATCATGGCTAACTTCATGTTCTATATCGGCACGCACAGCATAGGGACCTGTGCGAGTCTCTTATCATCATCATCATCATCATCATCATCATCATCATCATCAAACCCTTATTGAAGATCTTCAATGGATGTAGAAGTTTAACGGGGGTGGGAGAATTAAACCCTTATTGAAGATCTTCAATGAATGTAGAAGTTTAACGGGGGTGGGAGAATTAAACCCTTATTGAAGATCTTCAATGAATGTAGAAGTTTAACGGGGGTGGGAGAATTAAACCCTTATTGAAGATCTTCAATGAATGTAGAAGTTTAACGGGGGTGGGAGAATTAAACCCTTTTTGAAGATCTTCAATGAATGTAGAAGTTTAACGGGGGTGGGAGAATTAAACCCTTATTGAAGATCTTCAATGAATGTAGAAGTTTAACGGGGGTGGGAGAATTACACCCTTATTGAAGATCTTCAATGAATGTAAAGTTTAACGGGGATGGGAAATTTATATTCCCTAAATACCCTTGTTGATCTTCCCAATTGAATGTAAAGTCTAACGTTTGATATCCCCAAGTGTACAGCATAGAAGGGGTGTGGGCGAATCGCGGTGTTTGCGCGTAAACTTACATGATCCGAATCTTTTTGGTGGTTCCCATAGTTTCTTATCTTCGGATTTGAGGATAGTTATCCCAATCCTACTCCCATATAATCCCATTCCCCTAATATCAAAGACCCCCGGAAACCATGGTGGATGTATAGCAAGCGATTCCCACATCTTTGGGACCATAGAATGGTGGTGTTTAATATTGGGCGGACAACATCAACCAACAGGAAACATCGTAACCCATCCCCAACAAGATAGAACCACGTTTTTATCAAGAGGTTGCATATGATTTTTGATAATTACATACTGTTACTTTTTTCCAGGCGTTCCACTCTTCTATGTCTTCTATCTATTTTGGGTTTGCAAAGAAACCAACCCACAAATCAACCAGTCACCAGGCCACATTTTTACCACGGCACGGTATCCAGGAGATGAAAGAGTTGTAGCAGCTGCGCTTCGTTGAGACCCATCACGGTGAGTTTGTTTTTGATGGTCTCAGCGACCGTAAGGCCAAGATGGGCCGGGGATAAAAGGGCCAGTTTTGGGAGAATTCTTCACAAGTGAAGGGGTTCGTAACGGTTATATAGTATAAAATCCAATTGGATTTTGAGATTTTTGAGAAAGAACTGAAACCATGATAGGGCTGTCATTGGTGCACGGGGCTGCATGTCATTGGAACCCGTCGCAACCGAAAGAAATGGTCTCCAGGTCTCAGGCCCCTAGCCTCTGGTATCCGCTGGTCAGGTTAGCCTTTTTGAGCTGGTAGGGTTCTTCATCCCTGGTTGGTAGAACATGCTTCCACGCTTCAGAACATGGCTATGGGATATAAATGGATATAGCCTGTCATACCATGCAAACAGGCTATGTCTAAGCGGATAGAACATGATATGAAATGATATGACATGATATGAAATGATATGAAATCCCGCTAGCAATGGCCAAAGCACGCAATTTCGGTGCACCAAACCAAGGTTTACCCAGAACAATATACCAGCAAACACATCCCTACAGCTCCAAACATGTTCCGAGATTGTGATTGGGGTTGTGGTTTGGGGTCTAAATAGCTTCTCCGAAGATATTTGGGGCACTAGGCTATAGAAAAGTAATGAAAACACCAAAAAAAAAACAACCAGAAGTGCTTGCAAGGCACTTCGATGCTGAAGGCATTCTTGAACTCTACTTCGGTCACCTGACCATGACGCATTGATCTGGCTATATATATATATATATTCATGAGAAAAAAACTATCCATTCACTAGCCATGACTGGGTGTTGTAATAAACATTCCCCCAGTCATTCCCAGTCACAGGGTTTCTTAAAGCCCAATTGGGGATGGTGATGCTGGTCTCCCCTCCAGGTGATCTACCTACACCTACATGAGAAACTACCAATTCACTGCATCTTGGCTGGCTAAATGCAGTCAAAATCACATTTAAGTGTAATTGTGCTGATGACGTCTATGCTAATTGCTACCCTCTGGTAAACTAACAGTTTGCTATTGAAAATGGCCCATAGAAATGGATGTTTTACCTATAAAAAATGGTGATTTTCTATAGCTATGTAAACGTTTACCAGAGGGTAAACCTCCATTTTCCTAAGTGGTTTTCCTATGGTTTTCCAAGATCATCCAAGATCATCATCCTCCGAACGCCTGGCCGCTACCGTCCTCATCCAGTTCCACAAACATCTCCTGGCCGCCACTAATCCAGACATGTTCCCAAAGGAAATCAAACATGGCAATGGCAAATCCTCTCTATATATGTTTGTAAATATATATATATATATTATATATCCGCATATATATAAGTATATATCATTATTTGTATATATATATATCCGCACATATATATATAAGTATATATCATTATTTGTATATATGTATATCCGCATATATATATATAAGTATATATCATTATTTGTATATATGTATATCCGCATATATATATATATAAGTATATATCATTATTTGTATATATATATACATATATTTACATATATATATGTATCTATATATACATATATGTATACACACATATATATATATGCGTGTATATATATATATATATGTGCGCTGAAATGCACGTAGCATAGATGGAGCCAGACTTGCAGATCACTTTTCAGGATAAGAAACCACGGTTGGCTTATGTTGCTTTTCTTTTCCATATTGTTTTTTTCTTTCAATTTACTGGAAGGTATATTGGTTTACCGATAGGAATTCCGGCCAAACATATTCGATTCCTAGAGACCAAGGAGATTGTTGTATACCACTGCACCCTCCAGCGGTTCAATGGGTCATGAGTCATGAAGATGTTCTGGGAATCTTACCGGATCCTACTGTGGAATAGTTTTCTCCCAAGCGTTCCAAGAGGTCAATGTTCGAAAACCCTAGGCCCTAGCGGGGCCAAGTTAGTCTTTTTTTTTGGCAAAAAAATGGAGATGGGACACCCAACAGTTGGCACATGCTGGGACATCCACCGCCGGAAACATCAGAAACTGATCCAAAAATGTCATTCCCATCTTACAAAAATAATCTAAAATATATGAAATACCATTGAAATACCTAGTCCAAGTACCCACAAAAAACGGTGCTCTATCCCAAAACATCTGTAGTTTTACACCCAAAAAATGGTGGTGTGACCCATATATATATATGCATAATATGTATATATATATATATATGAAATACCCGTGGGTGTCTCTCGGGCGTAGCCTGCTGGTCACCTGAGGGCCACAAGACCGACCATTTGGTCACCTGGGTAGAAGACGACCTTGAAGAAATTGGAATCGTTGTTGATGTGGTTTCTTCAATAATCCCATAGGAGAAGTATCAAAGATATATTTGATTATTTGATTCTATATATATATATATGTGTGTGTGGATACTATATGTTCAGTACTTAAGGTTGTAAGTATTCTAGCTGAAGTTCAGTCTTTAAAAGATCAATTTGTTTGCGAATCCGCTGTTAAGAACTGATTCCACGACGAGTCTGAAAGCACACATGAAATCTTTATATTTGCAGTCTGCACACATGATACTGAAGTGAATGTATAAAGCAAAATCATACATACAGCATACTTGATCATAGATTCATTTCAGAACCTCGAAGAGCCGCTGAAGTCTGAAGTCGACCCCAAAATCAGACCACCAGAATCTCAGAAGTGGCTACCAGTCCTTCAAGTTCTCAATCTCCTTCTCTTTCTGCAACATCAGCCTAGGTGCTCAAATGTGCCCAGTGTGACCGTGGTCGATCTTTGATTTGTTAACATAAAATAGTTGCTTCCAGTGGAAGGTGCTACTTCAATTGCAAATTATCCATTGTTTGAAGGTAAATCCCAAAGAATCCTCAGCCAGGGATTTATCAATCCAAGTTTTGGCATCAACCCAATGTACAGTTTGTTTCATGTCATATTCTCGGTTTTCACTACTTTTTCACTGCTGAAAAAACATAATTGTGGAGTCACAATGGGATACCGGCCCATAATTGTTTCTCAACAATTGCTTTCTTTCCTTGCTTCTGTATGCCAATAGTTGGATGCTATAATAATAATACAATAATATACTAGACATTGACCAAACCTGAGGTTTCTGAACGTGTTTGACCCATGTGGAAACAAATCAAACACGTCCCCGACACCAAGCTGCTGTTTGGCCAAATCAGCCTCATCGGCCTTGGAGGTCCTTGGGAAGCACTAAGAAACCAGCAGGGCTCACATGGCCGAGCTAAAAGCCTCATCAACACGCACATTATTACTGTCTTATATGTATATATATATATATAGCCTCCGGTTATTTCACATAGCCATGGTATAGATGGCCCATTTACAGATGGTTTATCATGGTTTACCTATTAAAAATGGTGATTTTCCATGGCTATGTCAAATAACCAGATGGTATATATAACGGCTTGGTGGTTGAGACACCACCCGGGAAAAAAAAAAAATCTTCACTGGGGATCTCATCCCGAGATCCAATGGCTGAAAAAACACTTTTTTTTGAAACCACCAATCAGGTAAGCTCCGGGAAGTTGCTGAAAAATCTACTCTTGTGAAAAATGAACCTTCAAATTTTGGCATGAGAAAATATCACCATAGGTTAGTAATCTAAAATCCCCGTTTATGGCTAATCTTTGTAGATACCCTAAAGAGCATGTTGCTGCTTAACATTGCTTAACTGATTAGTCATGATTAGTCTATGTCTCTTTCGTTGTTATGGGAAAAACACGCCACGGATTTGAGTCTTTTCTTAATTTACTGCGAAACTAGCCTGGGGATTTTCATCCCATACATCTCAATTTCTTTCTCGACCCATCCATTCAAAACTACCCCTAGGGTTTCACCCTGCATAAATCCAATTCCACTCATTTTCCCCCGTTTTGTGCAGTTTGGTATCTCAAAGGCCTCATTACAAATGAGGGCAGTCACCAAATTGGAGAGCACCTGACCACGAAAAGCGGGTGGGACCTGGTGCTAGAAAGGTGTGATATTCCTATAATTTGAGAATTGAAACTCTCTCTCTCTCTATTGAAAATTGCCATTTATAGTAGATTTACCCAATAAAAATACTGATTGTCCATAGCTATGCTATTTACCAGAGGGTAAAACTACCGTCATGAACCATTGAACAACCGACCATGCGTCGGATGGTGCAACGTGTACAGCAACGAGTGACGAGATAGGCCCAGGCTGTAAAGGTCCAAAGAAAAATCCTGGGCGCCAAAAGGTTGTGGCTCGAAGCGGTGCGCGAGTTGGTTCGGGGGGCAACCAATTTAGACTGGTTGGTGGTATACCTACCCCTCTGAAAATATTAGTCAGTTGGGATTATTATTCCCAATATATGGAAAAATAAGAAATGTTCCAAACCACCAACCAGGTTAGACAGTTAGTCAGTTCACAACTGCCATATTTTATGGGCATCCCCATTTTCACAGCAACATATCATGCGAGTATATATCATATTGTTAAACTGGTTATTGTTAAACTGGTTGGTGGTTGAGCCTACCCCTCTGAAAAATATGAGTTCGTCAGTTGGGATTATTGTTCCCGATATATGGAAAAAATGTTCCAAACCACCAACGTATAATTTGTTTCAAAGTCAGTTGCGGACTGATTAATAGGGCGCAACCATATTTATCATATTTCCCGTTTGCTTTGAGGTGTTCGAAGTTCTTGATTTCAGCAAGGAGGGGTGACCATCTGTAGCTTGTAGTTACTAGAAATTACTCATCATATCCCATCATCCATCATCCCAAATCACCATCACCCTCTGGTAAACTGTCCCGTAACTATGGAAAATCACATTTTTTCTTGGGAAAATCCATGATTTCTATGGCCATGTTCAATAGATCAATAGCAAACTGTAATAAATTACCAGAGGATAAGCCCTCTGAAATTCATCCAGTTCCCCAGTTCCAAGGGGCCAAATGTAGGGCTGCTGTTGCATCAGCGCGTCCATGATGTCCTGTGAATCGTCGGCCCTCAGAAACCTCCAGGTTTCGGGAGCGGGTTGAGTGGGAAATGAACATCCCTTGGGTGGGAGGTAGATTCTTAGATTGAGGCTCGAGGTAGATTATTTTGTTCATCCGATTTCATCCATCTTGATGAACCCCCAAAGACTCTTCATCTGTAGCAACCAACGTGTCCAACGTCTTGAATCTTTGGGTCATCAACCTATATAGGGGTCTCCAGCCCTGAAACTCCTTAGAAAGCTACTGAAGGTATCTAAAGAGCTCAGTCTCCGCGGATCTTTGTCCGGGAAAATTGCGCTAATTCAACAATCCATATGAGTTGCAACGGGATCTCATATCCCATTCCAAGAATTGTAGGGATCTCATTTTGGGATCTCATTTTGGGATCTCATTTTGGGATCTCATTTTGGGATCTCATTTTGGGATCATACACTTAGTAACTCATGTCCCAACACAGAAATCACACCATGGTAGGTTAGTAGTAGTAGTAGTAGTACTAGTAGTACTAGTAGTAGCAGTAGTAGTAGTAGTAGCAGTAGTAGTAGTAGTAGTACTAGTAGTAGCAGTAGTAGTAGCAGTAGTAGTAGTAGTAGCAGTAGTAGTAGTAGTACCATGTAGCATCCCAACTCATCGGATCTTCCGCACCTGATGAGGGTCAGCATCGAATACCAAAGGCCTCGGAGAACGTCGCCTGACCTGGACATCCTGGACCTCGAAAAATGTGGTACCCCACCAGTGATGTTTGTTGGTTTATAAACCCCATTAAGTATAGCATAGTATAGGTATATCTACCATAAACCATAGTGACATTGGAGTTATTTGCACCAACTTAGCTAATCAATGGGAATTTCAGGATCCTAAAATGGAGGTACTGTACCATATGTTTGGCCATATGTTGTGGGGATAGTCCCTGAAATTTAGGGTTGAAAAATAGGCCTTACATATATAGGTACCTCCAATCAATCGGTTCCTGTTGCATGGCCAGTGAACGAACTGGGGCACCACCTTGTGGGATTTACAGTAGATGGCCTGGCGATGCCTACCGAAGAGTCAAAAAAAACCTCCGTTGGGCAGCATGCAGCCTACATCTTATCTTGGCTACAGTATATTTAATATGATTATATACTGATTTGATGCATTGACCTATCATAACCAATGATATTCAATGATTTTCAAATGCACATTGGAAGAACACCACCCCGGGCCGATCCAAAACTGAAGCCGTGGTTTC